TCAAAGGGGTTTAAAGGTTAATAAAAAAATCCACCCGAAAGTTAAAGAGTTAACCCTTTAATTATATATTACTTAAAAGTAATATCAAAACGGAATCGCTATTTTGCATTATTCTCAGTTCTATTGAAAAGACAATAGGCTTATCAAGCTGAGTGGAACCTCTCCGTCCCAAATCGTATTAAGACTATTAGAAATATCAGCAGCTTAGCTACTGTCCTTGCGTTTACATGCAATCGCTTCGATTACTCTCTTTTATTTAACCTTTTTGTTGAGCTTCAAAGCCCAACAGAAAGCGATGAATTTCAACTACGAGATCGGTCAAGGTACTGGGTGGGGGGGGGGGCTACCGTAGAACATTCTACCACTTTTGTAACCACCCGCGTAACTCGGCCGGAAGTTGAGACGTGCGGATTCTGTGGAAACATGTTGGCGCCTGGGTGCAGATGGGCCTGAAACAACCTGGAAAGCGTGCTTCTTGAGGATGCATATCCTGGAAGGCAAAGAGACGCTTCAGTCTAGACCCGGACTTAACTTTACAAGGAGTTGGTGGAGAGTTATTCTGGAGTACGTATCCCAGGATGACCTCCTCTCGCTATGGTCCCACCCAACACGGACAATAGCAGATACCCAACAGGGCTCCGGCCTCAAGAACACGCGCTGGACGCCTTAAGGACACATGTCTCCAAGCTGAACGACAAAGGCACGCGTATGTGTGACCAGTATAACTTACCTACGCCAAGAGAAATACCCCACAAGGCTCCTGTGCCAAGAAGAAAAACGGTGTGCAAAGCTACTGCGCCAGAATTCATTCTGCGTTGTTTACCCATATCAAGGTGTATATGCTGTGCTAGAGCCATACCAAGCCGATATCTATCACCTGCGCCAAGATGAAGGCCGTACAAGAAGTTCGTGCCAAGATTGCGAGATGCAATTCAGGAGTGAGAGATCATCCTCGGTGTACAACGTTATAAAATCGTCCCAACGCCCAATCCAATGAATGCAGTACAAGTCTCAGAATGGCACCCCTGAAGAACAGGTGCATACTGGCACTTAAATCGGGGTTCGATTTCCCGAAGGCGCAACGATTGCTAGCTATTATTGTAACTGACTACCACGCAAGTGGCTCACACATACTTATAACATCTCCAAACACTACCGCGTTACGACGACCGCTACGCTCTAAGCCAAAGTACTCAGCACAATGACGTCAAAACAACATCTCACTCCGAGAGGCAAGCGTAATAAGTAACTAGATGGTCAGCAGGTCGAGGAGGCGTACCGACATGCAGTAGGACGTAGGAGAAGGCGTCGTGGTGGGGAAAAGGTGTGGCAATGCGGC